AGATTGATTGATTAAATCATTGAACTTAGATTTGTTTCCGATCGGTCTACCAATTTCTCTTTTTCGAACCGTCTGAGTCTTATATAATGTTCTGTCTTTATTCCAATTTACGTTCGAGTCTGATGATAGTTAAATACATTTAATGGACCAATCATTCTAATCACGCATTTATCATCTATCCATGAGTTCCGAAAAGCATACAAAAGGTAGTAGAGTATTACCTCGATTTTTGTGCCATGTCGATCTATCATTTAAACTCCATTCAATTGCCCTCGGACCTTAATTCAACGTCCAATAATTCCTCGGATACAAAGCAATCGAATTTACGTCAGAAACTGAACTTAATTGAGAAACCAATTTGAATCCGAAGATAAAACATTGAAAAACAGCTTACCGGGTGCAAATTTGGAAAAACGGATCTCAAAATCGGATCTCAAAATCGGACTCAGAACGTCGAAAAACATATAATAGAGCTTTTCAAAAAATTAACTTTTCGGTCAAAGTCAAAGTCAACGGTAAATGGTCTAACCGGTCAGACTGGTCAACAGGTTGACTCGGTCAAAGTCAATGAGTTGACTCAGTGAGTTAACTCAATGGACCGGACCATGTGGTTCGGGTCGGGTCGGACAGACAGGTCAGGTCGGGTCAACCCGGTTCTGGAAAATTCCTTGGACCAAACAAGCCCCACACGTGTGGTGGCGTGATACGCCGGTGGCAGACTTGGAGCAGTCGGTCGATTCTTCCCTGATCATCAACTTGCCGGAAACAACACAAAAATCAATCCAAAACCAGCTAAACCATAAAGAAAAATTAAATGAAATTGATCTGAAACTTACCCAGGCGGTTGTCAGCGGAGGCAACGACGAGGGACGACAAACCCGACTAGGTTTTGTTCCCCTGTCGACGATGCTCCAACTAGGGGTGGCGGTGTCGAACACCGCCAGCTTATCAACAACAAAACTCAAAAATAATTTTTCGACGGTATGCCCCTTCGACGAGCCTTCAAACGAACCTCCACGACAATTGGCAAGGTGAATCGATGAACCGTAATGATTGATTTTGATCTTGAGGTCATGACGGTGCTGATGGTGTCGAAGGTGCATGACACGGTGGCCGGATGAATCCGATCGGCGGTAGGCGACGGAGGTATAAAATAAATTGGTTTATAACATTTTGGGTTTTGTTTCCAACTGGAGAATACAATTGGGGGTATTTTCATTGCCCAATAAAAATGGGATAATTCGGGTTCAAGTCCCTAAATTTCTCATAAATTTCAAAATAGAGCTACAACTTTTAAAAAAATTATAATTTGATGCGCTAAACTTTGCCTTGTTACTATTTTAATTCGATATTTTAAAAATAATAAACTTTTAACCCCTAAATTGGAGTGTGACAAATTCCTTCCACTGTGGGATACTAATACTCGTCTCCGTAGTATACCCAAGACGTTGAGCAAAGAAAACCTTAGGCTTCCTTATCCCCTTTTTATTCCTGGTTATAATGGGATGACCATGGACAGCACTTCAATCCACAACAGGAACAACAATGCTTACACCCTCAACAGCACTAGGAACAACACTGGAATACTCAAAACAACCTCAGTCCTAGACTGTTCTTGAGGCTCAATAACTCGAGGACAACCCAATAGGGTCCCATTAACTGTACCCTTATCAAGGACACCCTCAGCCCTCAGGACCAGCACAGACAGATGGCACAACATTATCAGAAAGTCTATCCTGAACACAATCATGAGAAAAGGTAGCATCCACAAACTGATCCACTCTCTGCCTCAAGGTACCAACCGTCAACTCCTCTGAAGTGCCTGGTAAATCCATAGGAAAACTATCAACATGTTCCATAGGCAACACATCCTGCCCAACTGTAGCAGAACCATCCACGGGAGACACTATTCCTAAAGGAACAACTTCAGGAGTTTCTTCTCCAGCAGCCTGAACAGTTCAAAAATTTTCTGCACTAGGGACAATAGATTTGTCAAAAATCACATGCCTAGAAATAAAAATACGCCAACTGTCATCTTGACGCTTATTCCTATTGTGTTCATCTCGAGTTAACTGTCGTTAATCTAATCGCAGTTAAATATTTTGATATAATCACATGTTTGGATTTACATATTCTCAATTTAATAATTTATTTTATATTTCACACATTTTTCTAATACAACAATAAACAAAGAACGTACAGTACGAAACTCAATAGCCCCTGTTTTTACGATTAAAAACATAACAAAAGTAGTCAAGTGACCTTCTTTGAAGACTTCATCAAGAATTTGATTATCCATCTCTGTAATACATAGCAGTTCAAGCACTAAATAAACTTAATTCTCAAGTGGGTCACCTCTCTACTTTTCATTTAAAGAAGAACGCCCATAAAATCACTTCAAATATTTGTTCATGGCGAAGATAATTTTATTTTTGTTATTTCATCAAGTTGCACATTTAATATATTTTTGTTTACGATATTAATGCTTGCAAATGTTGCGAGTATTACTATTGTTCATTAGTAGTGGTGTTCGTAAAAATATAACAACACTGAAATGATGAATTTCAGAGCAGGATACTAGTTGATATTACTCTATGTAATTGACATGTGAAATGATGGTTGGTGTATCAACCAGAGACAATGTCATAGTCAACACAAACCTTAGATGTGATTTTGTAATGTTACATGCTCTATGTTGGTCATGGTTTAGTGGGGTTCTTTTTCTTGTTGGAAAGGTTCTTTATTTTACTTGGTCCAATCAATGGGAAGGTTCTTTACTTTCCCTTTTTCTTGCTATTCTATTCCAATCCCAACATAAGGTTAGAAAAGAATCAAAAAGATAGGGAACAAAAAAACAAAATGCAAAGTTTTTGTAGTCAATTTGATTGAGTTTGTAACGTTCACTTATAATTTTGTTATCCGCATGGGTCGATTATATCGGATCGGATCAGATCATACTCCTAAACAGGGAATAAAACTATCCCAGAACTGTTATTTTCATAAAGATCTGCACATTTTCCTTCAGAAAACGGAATAACAATTTCCAAGTGCCAGTTCGCTTTGCAGCAGTCAACAAGTGCAACTCATGCAACAAATAAAAGCAACAGGCTTTGGCAAAATGCATTGCCAAACTTCTAAAGTTCCCCTTAACTGTACAACATTGTCAAATCACATCCAATTAAATCAGTTAGGTTCTCGAATCCGGACCTTTCGCTGCCACGAGTTCAACCGTCGTGATGAATGTTGACCTGCCAGCTTCCCTTAAATACTGGATATCTCCATTCAGGAGCTTTACCAACTTTCGGCTGACTAGCAAACTGATACCCTCCTCGATGAATCTTCATCGCTTATGAACATTTGGCTCAGCAATGCTTCAGGTACTCCGCTACCTGCGTGCGTTGTCCTGAACCAAAATACATACCAAACGCCTTTTACTTTCGGCTTGACTTCATATACAGGTGAAGTTCATTTGTTCATAAAACTACGTGTCCGTAACCATTTTTTTAAATAATTAAATATTATTTTACTTTTTATTTTGAAAAATAGGAGGATTTTGGATTAATTTGAATTAAATTGAATAGAGTCGTCATCGACCTTTGGGTTAGGTAGGTCGAATACCTAAAAACGTCTTTTAAAATAATTTTAAGGAAAATTTGTTTTTTAATACGAAAATTGGTGTGCGTTTACCAAAGGTTTGTTTTAAAATGATTCGGGAGTCGGTTACGCGCGGGAAATGATTAGCACCCCACAACGCCCAAAATTGGTATTGTGTCGCTTACACGTTATCGTAAATGGTGGAAATCATGAATCGAAAATAAAGTTAAAATATGATCCTTTATTAAAGTTAATTAATTTGCTTTGAATCAATTAATTAGAGAAAATTCTTTAACTCGAAAGAAATCTCGAGATTAGCAATCATCCGTCGCGAAAGCTATTTCAACTATTTCTTATCCGTAAAAAAATATTCGCTCATCGATAAATATGCGAATTGAATATAAAAAAATCCATGTTTACATACAACAAAATAAATTGATTAACTAAAAAAAGTGAATCGAATATAAAATGTAGAATGAAGATCGACAATTTACATGAAATGAAATAAATTTATTTAGAGACATTCAATGCAATATTCGACTTAAAATGAAATGAATTAATAATTAACAAACTATAATTGATTTATTTCAAGTTCGTATTTGATTCGAATGCTATATTGGATTACATCACTTCGATCAAGTGGTGCTTTCCAAGCCCATTCTACAAATATCGTTCTTGAAAATAAAAATCGAATATTTCATCCATGGATATAATGCAATGGAAATAAATGTAATTAAAAATATAAAATAAAATGTTTACATTAAATGAAACTAAAAACATTATTTACATAATACAAATAACCACATAATATGTAAAATACATTAATACATAAATGACTAAAATAAAAATAAGTAAACATTACAAACCAAAATAAAATACAAAAAATAAGCATTTAAGGGACTAAAATATGATTAACAGAAATTTAAAGGAATAAACAATAAATACAGAAAGTTAAATGACCAAAATAGCAAAAACAAAAAAAATTAAAGGACTAAAATAGCTAAAATAGAAAGTCAAAGGACTAAACAGTAATTACAAATAATCTAGAGCCAAAATCACAAATAATAAATAGTACAGGTACTAAAAATGAAAATAACCCAAAAATAATATAAATGACTGAAATGAAATAAACAGAAACACCAAGGAGCAAATAATAGTTAATCCTAAATGCCAAACAGTGACTAAAATAAAATATTTACAAATTTCATGGTCAAATTAGAACATCAGCTAAAATACAAACCATACAAAACTAGTGACTAAAATAAAACATTTTAAAATATTAAAACCATAATCAAATATAAACAAATATGGTATAATACATATGATAATGACTAGAATATAAATGTGGAAAGATAAAGGTTCAGAACAAAACAACGTAAACTTCATTTCATACCCATATCGTGAGATTACAAAGAACGGGGACCCCCTCTCCCATCAAAACTACGTCGTTTTGGTAGTGTTATATAAGCCCCAAAATAAAGCCAAAATTGGCTAACCATTTCATTTCGTTTGGTTTCAAACCGAGGGAGGAGAGAGAGAGTTTCAAACTCTCTCAACTCCCTCATCGGAGAGGAGAGAAGCATCCGTCGTCGGTGGCACCTCACGGCGATGTACGGCGGCCGGAGGAACCCAAACACCCTCAACTGATTCTCCTCAACCCCCTCCACCCATATCTCAACATTTTTAAGCCTAAAAGCCACCCATTACCCTAGATTTGGATATTATCTTTCGAAAAAACGAGGCTCTTGGATTTCCAGCACCAAATCGAGGTAAGAACCCCCTATTCTTCTTCGCTTTTTTTTCCTTTTGTATGGTTCGAATATCGATGGTTGTTAGGTTCCCCTTCTTTCTCTATTTTTTCTCAAAACCCTCTCTCTCTTTTTTCTGTTCGAAACTCTCTCTTCCCCTAATTTTCTTCTGTTTTTCTTTTTTTTGTTTTGGGTTCTCATCGAATCCCCAAATGAATCCCCCCTCTTCTCCTCTTTCTCCTCGTTATATTTGTATCTCTGACTTCCCTGCAACTGAGGAGATTGATTGAAAATCTTTAGATTTTCATTGGGATATCTCTTGTACTTGCCTCATTTTTTTTTTAATGTTTGATATGATTTCTTTTGATTGATGGTGATCGATGTGGTCACTGTTCGAGAGGAGGGATGGGCTCTGATCAGCTCGGGAAGCACTCGGCGACGGCTGGAGATTTAGACGGTGCAGTGCACGTGCGGCTGAGGAAGTTGGAACTCACTGGCAGTGACATCTTGATAATTTAGGGTTTTAGAAACCTAGGAGTCCGGGTCGGATCCTGGGTTGTTGGGCCGATTTGGATCAGTTCGGATCAATCGGGTTGGCTAAACCATCTGGGTTTTGGGTCGGGTCTGTAATTTGTGTTGGGCTGTTGGGTCACTGATTTTTTTGTAGTGAGCCTGCAAAAATAAGTGTAAATATATGTTAATAATAATAATAATATTTTTGTAGACCTAGACAAAAATGAGTGTCTACACTAAAAAATATATATACCAGTTCCGTATGCATACTACGGATCGATTAATCTAATTGTTGTGCAGGAACGTTATCAGAGTATGAAACTATGCATGCTATTAAAGAAAACAAATCAGTACCTGAGCTCCAAATGTGCAAGGTGAACAGATTGTCCTAGTCGATCTTTGGTCAGGTTAGCTACAAGAAGAAGCTGGCTTCCTTGTGGTGTAAAATTAACCGATGTCAACAAGAAGTCGCCTACGACCTGTTGAAGTCCGACACTATCTCCATATAAGGTCTCGGGCATGATGTCTTCCGCTGTATCATTGACTATTATTCGGATGAATTTCCCGTCACACTTTACCATCACTTGACTGATGGAAGCAATCAATACCTCATGCAGGGTGAATTCCATCATTTCGAGATCCACGTAACTGTTAAAAAAGAACGAGCTTGAAAACCAGTTTCCAAAATCTTAACAATCTGATCCATTTACAGCCCTCGTCGTTTTCATATGCCTTTTTACCTCTCAAGAGCTCGAGAAGCACGGCCCGAAGCTGTAAATGTAGCTTTTCTCGGTTAACTTGCCGTACAAGGCGTATTCCGGAGCAACATAGCCTAGAGTTCCAGCTACTGTTGTGCTTAAATGTGTCATTCCCTCGGACTTGATCTTTGCCAAGCAGAAATCGGCGACTTTCGGCTCGAATGTCCCATCCAGAAGTATATTACTAGCTTTGATATCTCTGTGGATGATGGCAGGGTGAGCCCCATGGTGCAAATAAGCTAAGCCTCTTGCGGTACCGAGGGCAATCTTGAGACGAATAGGCCAGCTAAGTTTCTTCTTTCCCGATCCGAAAAGATGATCATAGAGGCTTCCGTTACGCATCAAATCGCAAACGATTAGCCTTTGATGCCCTTCCAGCGGCACCGTTGCAGTGCAGAAGCCTCTTAATGCAACAAGATTGACATGTCTTACACTTGCGCAATGACTTCTACTTCATGTACAAAGTTTGCATCTCCGACGACCGAACAATTCTTCAACCTTTTTATCGCGACTTCGGATCCGTCCAGTAGTATCCCTCTATAAACATTCCCATATCTTCCCATTCCAATAATGTTCTCTCCCGAAATTTTTTTTGTAGCATTCTGTATCTCCTTAATTTTGAACCTTTTGAGACTAGTACTTCTGCTACACAGTCCGAACCCGAAAACCAAACTAGTCTCATCCGTATCCGAATCATTCTTCGCCTCTACACTTTTCCTACATCGTCTCATCATAAGGAACAGAATGAAAACGCCCCAAGTATACCACCGACAGAACTAACCGTCGCCCCTGCAAGTACACTTCGGTGGTGACTAAGGCTCGGCCTCAATTTCTCTTGTTTAGATGCTATGGAAAACTAACACTGAGCGGTTGCTCTATCAGCAGGACCAAAATGGTTAAATGCAGCCGTATACATATTAGGGTACCTCGAACAAGCCGAGATATTCAGTGCAGCGTCGTCATCGATGCCATCGAGGAAAACTTCCTTAACTATGAGCAACTTTCTAGTACACAGTCCACATGTAAAACTATCATCCAGAGACTGAGTACAGTAGTATCTCAATTGGTACAATATGGCACGAATTAGGCTCTCAAACTGTGCTCTAGATGTTACATTCATGCAGGCTTCGGAAATCCATTCCACGTTATATCCGCAAGAAGTTTCGATATCAAAATCGGTTACAAACTCACCTCGTAGAAGCCGGTATGACTCCCGGCATGCCACGGAAGTTTCGGGAGGGGGAACAAAGTACTCACTCGTCCGGAGATACTCTGACCGGCCCAAATCAATTCCTTCCATGATGTTTCGACATTATGTGAACCCTGCAGAGTCTCTATACACAAATTTTTTGAGGATGTCAAAGTTCAGTGGACAGGAGGCGTTCACAAGGGTTTCATTTGAGAGCTTTAGGCAATATGAGGGTGACATATTGATCTCAGCAGAGGTTAAGACTGATACTAATGCAAACAAAGTAAACTGAGATGAGGACATTGAAGAGAAATGGAAGGAGATTTCAATCTTTCCACTTAAATTGATCAGAACAACAACTTCATCATCAAGCTTTTATTGGATACTTTGGCCGGTTTTGGCTTCTTGTAAAGGGCGGCAATGGAGAACTTGGAATCAGTCTAACTGTGCATGTGAGTTTTAGGTAGAGGTTGAAATAAAGAAATCCCAACAATTTGACAAAGTATAGCTTAAAGGTAACTTTTGGCCTCATCTTAAACCAAGGTTCTGTTTCATATTTGTCAAATATATATATATATATATATATATATATATATATATATATATATATATATATATATATATATATATATATATATAAACTTCTCTCCTTTCTACTTACATATAGTTATAGGTAGGGGTGTAAATGAATAAAGTATTCAGTTAATTGTTCGTGAATCGTTCGTATGATGTTTGTTCATTAAGTTAAATGGCGAGTATGAACAATTTTTTTACGCTCATTTAATAAATGAACAAACACGCACATAGGTGTGTTCGATTCGTTTATATTTACAAACATGCTTATTTTATTGACTCGTTTATAAGCTCATTCACTTGGTCCTCCTTTTTCTTTTATTCTTTTACATTTTAATACTGGTGAAAGTAAGGGTTAAATTGAACATAAGGTGATATTTGGAGTTCAAACTGTGAAGTCGAAGGAACTTAAAGACTAGTATAATTTCATCATTTTTCTTTCGCAAACAATAAATAAACCTTAAACGGACATGTTTTCAAATGCTAAGCGAACGAACATGTTCGCAAACACTGGACAAATAAATATGAACACTTTTAAAAATAAACGAACAAATACGAATACAATTGTATTTGGTCAAACTCGATTCATTCACGTTCCTACTTATAGGTAGGGATGGGCATGGGACCCGAACCCGACCCAGGTCGGTTTTTTAAATAAATTTTAGGTTCGGGTCGGGTCGGGTCGGGTTTTTTTAATGTGATGTTCGGGTCGGGTCTGGTTTGGGTTTAGGGTGAAAAATACTCGACCCGGCCAGGAAAAAATATATAATTTTACCTTATATATATTTAGGAATAATTACAATAATATCCCTCTATATATTATTTTTTCAATTAAGTCACTATTTTTATGGAATAAAAATAATATTTTTTTATTATATTAGGTCGGGTTCGGGTCGGGTGGAATCTTGTTTTGGTCTGATCTGGTTGGATCGGATCTCGAGTGGAGGACTCCTTGTTTTCGGGTCGGATCGACCAAAAACCCAACTCAACCCGACCGATGTCCATCCCTACTTATAGGCCAATGTCAAATATGTTGTCTTTATTAAGAAAATGGGTAAGAATATATGATGAAGAAATAATTTCTGTGATGGAAAAGAAATGGTCTCGGGATCACATTAATACGTCTTCCTTTCCATTTCTGTTTTCTTCTCCAACTAAAGCAGACCACCATGACCATGATCGTCAAGCCAAGAATAGCTTATACGAAAGGGTACTCCGAACAATCTGTAGCTTTCACACCGGCTGTGACACGAAAGTACGAATTGTTAACGCTAGTTAAGGAATTAAATTGTAGCGGCAGCAGCGTTTTCGGTTGTGTTTATCGTAGTTACAGATATAACAGATGTTATTGTAGTCACCACTTGTACGACAATTGTGATTTTTTTTAAAATTAGTAAGTGTTGAATTATTTTTAAAAGTTTACCATAATGGAACAATAAATCTATATATTTAAAATAAAAGAGATAAATCATTGCCCGTAATAAAACCGTTAAATCACAAGTGTCATGTTATTTCATTAACCGTAAAACAATCTGAAAACACTATGATCCTTTCATTCATCGATCATTTTTCGTTTAAACTAAAAGAAATAAATCACAAATCGTTAACTTAACTATCTCTTTTTTCACCTTTTAAATCATGATAAACTATTTTAGATAATTAGAAGTTACTTGAACATGTATTTTAATTAAAAAAATAAGGATAAATTATATTATTTATCACTCAATTACTTTTCACTCTTATTTTAATTATTAAAATTTATATATTTTCAATTTAATCACTTAATTAGTTAATTTTTGAATTACTCCTATTTTATTCACCAGGATGACATGACATTTTATTTATATATAATGTCATATAAAACTTAAAAGAAAAAGAAAAAAAGAAAATTAAAAACACCTAAAATGCAAACCTTAAAACCCTAAATCAACCATCTAATCATCAAATCAAAAGAAAACCAAAGCTTGGAACTATTCTTGAAATCCAAGCTAACGCCTCTTCATTTTCGAACACCCTCTGTCCCTTCTTTTTCGACCATTCTCCGTCCATCGACGTCTCAAATTAATCATTCAAATCCCAAATTAAAAGAAAGCCCCAAAAACCATAAACTTTCTTTAGCATCCAAGTGAGTGTCCCTTCATTTTTGACCACCCTTAGTCCACTGGCCCCTTCATTTTTGAAATTGAGAGCCAAAAGAGACTAAAAAATGGAAGGGATGGAAATGGTATTTTCAAGAAGTTGGAGGGTTAAACTGTTATTATGCCTTAATAGAAGGAAAGGGTGTGTTGGAGATTGGGGAACTGATGGGACATGGGAGGCCCTACATAGGGCAGGGGAACCTGAAAACTTCTTGCAATTGGTCATCTCTCTCTTCACTTTCTGAATCTGATATATTTATTATGTGTCAGATTACATATAATATATTAAAAATGATTTCATTGTTTGATAATTAAAATTTTAAAATATAAAAATTTATAAATTATATTTTTAAAATTTTAAAATATAATCACAATTAAATAAAAAATAATCATAAAATAATTTGATAAATTAAAAAATATTTTCTAAAAATATTTTTATAATTATAAAAATAAATTATGAATATATATATTTAAAAAATTAAAAGTATTGCATAATTGCATAAAATTATTGAAAATATTCAAATAAAATTTTAATTACAATTAAAGAGTAAATGAGAAATTTTCCACTAATATTATTGTAGTTGTATGGATTATTTAAATTTCAGTATTGTAAAACTAAAAATATTTAAATCTCAGTATTGCAAAACTCTTTTAAGTTTAAAAAATCAATTTATTTATATTTTAATTCATTTTAGCAGACTGCAGACGTTAATTTAATAAGGTTATTTATTAAATAATTTATTCAGTATAGATTGATTTATTTTAAAATATGGATTAATTTATTTTAAAAAAATTATTATTGTAGTTGTATGGATTATTTAAATTTCAGTATTGTAAAACTAAAATTATTTAAATTTCAGTATTGCAAAACTCTTTTAAGTTTAAAAAACAGTTTATTTATATTTCAGTTTATTTTAGCAGTCTGCAGACGTTAAAAAACAAACAGTCTTCTTCTTGCAGACTGCAGACTTTTGGTCCACCTCTTCTGCTGCAGATGCCTACAGATGTGGTCCGCAGACTGCAAACCTTTTACATCTGCAAAAACAAACACCACCTTAATTTATATTTATACCGTCTTAGTGACGATGTTATAATACGCATGTGTGTATTAGTGACGATGCTATAATACGCATGTGTGTATTAGTTAATTGATAAATAATAATACCAATTTGAATACGACATAGAATTAATAATAATCCAAATTTTAATTGATAAATAATAGGATGAGTTTGTCACGCTCGACGAGCACCACAGACAATGAGTATCACTGGGCACTATTAATTTAATTTATAAAATTTTAAATATTAAATGACTCAACATATTATTATAAATTAGTTAAAAATTTAAAGATAAATTATTTAAAATCAAATATTGCTTGTGTTATTTTTCATATTTTTTTTTAAGTTTAAAAAATTATGAAAAATAATGTAATTAATATTTTATTTTAAATAATTTATCTTTAATTTTTTAAATAAGTTATAATTATACATTAAATCCTTTAAAATTAGCGGCGTTTGGCGGTGAGCGTTGTTGGATTTTCCTAATCAATAATACCAATTTGATTGTAGTATAGAATCATTAGTAATCCAAACTGTGATTGATATAGAATAATATCAACACCACCACTTATAACTTGATTAAAGATGATAACTAGAATGATTAATTATTTTCTCTAACGATGTCCACCACGTAAATAAAATCATACCTGACGTTTAGTTTTTGTTTCATTTTAGTACACGTCATTAAAAACTAACAGACTGGCTGACTAGGCATAGTTCTGGTGGACGGACGACCAATCCAAATGATATACCGCGAAGAATGACGAGTCGACCAACATAGTCCAGTTTCAGGCCCATTGAACAGCTGGCGATGGAGATTGAAGGATGAATAAGCCGGAGAGTCCATTACTGATTTGGGGAGATTGAGACATTTTCCGGTGAAACGAATGCCAGAATCACGTTCAAGGATCGAAAAGTTGCAGACTGAAAAGTTTGGGCTTTATCGGCTAATGGGTGTGACAACCGACGACTTAGAAGTGGCGACCAATGGGCCCATCCATTAAGATTTTAATGACGGGATACTAAAATGAAACAAAAACTAAACGTTAGGTATAATTTTAAAAAAATTGAAAGTTTAGGTACTAAACGGATCAAAATTGATAGTTTATTTACTAAGCGTGTAATTTACCCTATAATAATTTGTATCAAAATGTATTTTCATTTCCAACTATTACTTTTTATTTTCTTCCATTTTGATTCGTAAAATGTAAAATTTAACCCTAAAAATTATCTACAACTCTCAACTACTTTCAAATTCAAAATCAACCCTAAACCATTACATGATATTTTGACAAAACCGCTAATATCAGAGGACCATTTTACCATTTATAATTATTCAACATCCTTAAATCACTATTTTTTTAATTAATTTCCCTAAAAAAGCCTCATTTATCGTTTCATTTACTTCATATAAAAATATAAATGAACATGGTTAGCTCAATTATTATAGGGGAAAAAGGAGTTCATTTTAAGTATGCAAACTCAATGCTTATTTATGAAGGCATGAGCACATAATAAAAATACATTAATATATATATATATATATATATATATATATATATATATATAATAAAAAATGTAAACTTTCATATTTATATTTTTTTGACCAACGCTTTTTCGTCGTTGACCGTTACGGTGCTAATGTGGCAATTCACTGTGCTGACATAGCAGTCCAGGGTGACAGATTAACGTGATAGATAATCATCGTAGACTGCCCAACACCGTGAACTGGCACTCCAATACTATAATCGTCGACGACAAAAAAGTTAGTCAAATGGTCACATTGAGTTTATTTTCTGAGTTGGAGGGTCACATTGATAGAAAAAATAATATAATGACCACATTGGTTTTTTTTATAAAGTATCGGGACCTTTGATGCCTTTTAGCATAAAATTTAATAGTCTAATTAATATTTTACCTAAAAATGACATAACTTTTTAAGAGATCAATGAGTGAAATTTCGATAAAAATAATAAGACCCAAACTAATAAAGGGTGTAATCATTAAGGATTAAATTCAACATTATGACAAATAAAACCATAAGATTTAGGGTAAATTATAAGTTTAGTAATCCTATTTATCAAAGGGCCTCAAATTATGATTTATTTGCATTTACCGAAAAAAAGAAAAAACCAACGTTCACATTCGGTCCTTCAAGCTGCCTGGTTGCAGTTTCGAGCGTTTAAGGTTGAAAGCAGAAGCCGCTGCAGAGCTTTTAACACATGTCGCCAACCCACCACAGCAGACCAGCGATTCCTGCGGACTCGTGTAAGAAGAGAGATAGAAAACAACAAAACAAAAGTAAATGTTTGTTTTGTAAGTAGTCCCACTTCGTGAAAAATCTCTACTTTCCTCTAGGAAAAAGTTCAAAAAAAAAAAGAACCAGAGGGAGATAGAGAAAAAAAACAAAGAGAAAGATGGAAACTTGTACAATTAAAGCTATGTTAAGCTTCATATGCCCCTTTTCTGGAGAAAAGTATTGAGTTTTGAGGGGCCAAAATATGGACACAAGAACATGGCTTTGATGTTATAGAAAAACCACAAATTGTACTTGTTTGTTTTACTCTCTGTCTATCACATTTGGACTATTTGCTTGTTTTGAGTATGTTCATGGCTGATGTTAATGCCTGTAAACGTGCTACTTTGAGGTATGTATTTTTTTTCTCATTTGGGTGTTTTTCCCCTTATGTTTCTTGAATGCTTGCATACTGTTTGTGTTTTTGTTCTCCTTCATGTTATTTCTTATGGGTTTGTCTTCGTTTTGCTGAAAGTTCTTTCCTTTTGGTAATATTCATCAATGGATGTTAGCAGAAGAGTTTTTTTTCTCTCTCTTTTCATAGTAATTTTGTTGAGCGGTAGCCATTGTTTTGTTCCCTTTTGGCGTTTACTAGAGCTTCTCTTTTTACCGTTTTCCCTTTCCTATTCGTTTTCCTTTGTGCTGTTTATAGAGAACATTGGTTTTGATGCTATTTATGCTGTGATTTCTAGTTCGTACATAATCATTTTTGGCACTTGTGAGTTTCAGCTTATCAATTTTGAGGATTTTTGTTTATTTTCTGCAAATTCTTTCTCTTTTGGATTAAATCTGGTTTGGAGCTTTTCGATTTTTTTTCATAGGTGTGATGATGATTTTCCATGTTGACATGTGTTTTTATTTTAATGCTATAATGGTCTCTCCCAAAACAAAGTTACTTATACGCATCCTGAATCCTGGTAGAAACGAAGGCTCAATTATTTCCAGTTTTATTCGGTTTTGACTGATTATTGACTTGTTATCGTTATCTATGTCTTCCAGTGAGAGCTCCATTGGTTCTGGTGAGAGGCGAGATAAGAACTCAGAAGGCGGGGTTGTTCGAGCAGCACATAAAAGGCAAGGGAAAAAGCTTTCTATATATTCATCGGCCCAAGGTATTGCGACCTATCTGATTCGTGTGTGATGATGTGTTTCTCTAGTTCAAGCTCTTACCAGTTTTCTTTCTTGTTCTATTCAAGAATTGAGGGCACTGGATGCAAAAAACGAGAAAAAAGATGGATCTTCTCCTACAGGAGTTATAGAGGCCAGTTTAGAATTAGGCTTGGAATCCGATATAACTTCTCCTGATGGCAGCCCCAAGGCAGAACTTCGTTGTACACATTCAGCAGCACTTTCAAACTGGAGGAAAATCTTCAAATTACTCAAAAGAAAACCGGACAAGCGCTTCAGCATATCGAGAAAGAACAGGAGCACAAAGGAGAGCCCTATGCTGAGAGAGTTATACAGCTTCAAATCTTCTTTAGAGAACTTCAGCATATCTCAGCTCCGAGTTGCAACGGCCAACTTTAACCGAGGTATGTAATCATTTTCAAGGCGATTAGCACTTGCAAAATGTGAAGTTATGCAAGGATGCTTAATGATACTATTAATAGACATTGATACAATTGTGTAGATTAATATAAGGGTACGATTTCTTGTAGAGAACATAATCGGAAGGGGTGGTTATGCTGAAGTCTTCAAGGGTCGGTTGAAGAATGGAAATCTCATAGCAATAAAGCGGTTGACAAGCGGGAACCCAGATGAGAGGACAGCAGCTTTCCTATCAGAGCTTGGCATTATAGCCCATGTAAACCATCCAAACACCGCCAAGTTGATTGGATGTTGCATTGAAGGAGGAATGCACCTTGTCTTTCATTTATCTCCGTTGGGAAGTTTGGCATCAGCTCTACACGGTTTGTTCCTAATCCACATTGTTTTGCTCGAGTCGTTATGATAAGTTTTTGATGCTTTTGACTCTTTAACATTATCCAGATTCAAAAGTTAAACTAGATTGGAGTAAAAGATATAAGATTGTTTTGGGTACAGCAGATGGCCTCACATATCTTCATGAGACTTGTGAAAGGCGGATTATACATAGAGATATCAAGGCTGATAATATTCTTCTTACAGAGAACTTTGAGCCTCAGGTAGCTTGCATCTGTATTTTTCATAATAAAAAGGAAATCACGAAACTGACGTGCGGAGAGAAGAAAAGAGAATGCATTTCCTTGTAAAATGCTAGAACTGATATTCTGTAAGCTGGATATTATCTGTGTTAACTATGTGCTATGTTTTGTAATTTTTCGAACCAGAAAGAAGTCAAATTAATCACCCAATAATAGCTTGTTTTCGTTTACCTAGCATTAGCGGGATATGCGTTGCTTCCTTCCTTTGTGCTCACTCTAAAGGTAGCTGCAGTTACGGTGAAAATCTTAGACTATTACGTGTCATGTTTTAGTTATGAAAATCTAGTTTTTTGCCTCAATATCCTTCCCTGAAGTATGCATGGGTGTCGTGTTTGCTTTATGAGATCTAATATCACTACCTTTCTGTCGGAAAATTGTCTGTTATTTGGTTTCTATTAGGCGCCTCAAATATACTATAATAATCACTTTTGTCGACATATATAGGTAAGATCTACCAATAATAGTGTTGCTATATCTGTCCTGTTATTTTGGCATATTATGACATTTATTTGACGAAGCTCCTAATGATCTGTGGTCATGAATGTCTGGCAGTTGTTTGCATTTGTATTTGATTTCCTTTGTCCGTTCCATTTATTGATTACGTCCGATTTTTCTTCCAGATTTGCGATTTCGGCCTTGCCAAGTGGCTACCTAGACAGTGGACACACTACAACGTGTCGAAGTTTGAAGGCACATTCGGGTTTGTAAGCCTAGAGTATCTTTATCGAGTTAATAAGTATTCTTGTCATAATGCTGACACGTTTATTTTGTCGATATGAAGCTACTTTGCACCCGAATACTCCATGCATGGCATAGTCGACGAGAAAACTGATGTCTATGCATTTGGAGTTCTGCTTTTGGAGCTCATAACAGGAAGGAAAGCTATAGATGATCAACAGCAAAGCGTTGTGATATGGGTACATTTCGTTACAGAGATTATGATCAACCGTACCCGAATCATAAAGGCCCCTTACTTACCCTTTTTAATTTTTTTAGGCAAAGCCTCTTCTTGATGAGAATGATGTTAAAGAGCTCGTAGATCCTTCCCTTGGTGACAATTACGATGCAGAGGAGGTTGATCGCATGGTTCTGACTGCCTCTTTGTGCATCGAGCAGTCTCCTATTCTTCGTCCCCAAATGAGTCAGGTGGGTATGACTTTTAGAAGTTCTTGAATATTTATTAATGCACACTGGAAAGAACTCAGAAAAATGCTAATTACGATATGATATTCGGCTTTGCGTTTCGGAAAGGTCCGACATTTCATTTCATTAGGAAAGAGACATTACTTTCCATGAAGTTAAATCATTGATCCATCATAGAAAGCTATTCTGGTGATTCATTTATTTCAACACGATGATATCGTTTGGTTATCGATGCCAAAATATGTTGGAGTTGCATGTTTGTCCAAGTTAGATGGTAGAATTCGCTCTATGATCGCTTGCAGCATCCATTTCTTTTGCTGTTCTTCGTAGTTTCCGTGAATGGATTGTTTTCTTTACGACATTCCCTGCCGGAACCGTATAAAAATAGCCTCAAGAAGTTCTAAACCACGAGCAACTATGTTTCTAAACATTCAAACATTTTAGAAATACTAGTGCCGTGCATGAAGGGCAAAATCACTTTGTTTATGATGCAGGTGGTGATACTGCTGAGGGGAGATGAATATGCAGCAGAATGTAGTAAAGAATCACAAAACCAATCCCATCACCATCATAGAACATACTCGAACGAGCTCCGTAAGGCTCAACCGAACAACATCGATCGACTCCGGGAGATTGCTTTAGGCTCGTAAAAAGCCGGTTATAACTTTGTTTTGCTTTGCTGCAAATCTGATGGAGAACTAGAAAAAAAAAGGACAATTGGATGCTGTGTTTCATGGCATTTGGAAGCATGGGTTGTTCCAAATTTCATGTGAAAACAGTTAATCAAAAGAACCAAATTATGCGTTGCTTTGGAGTTTGTGTGTATATAAGGTTTGAACTGAAACTTGTAAGGAAGTTGAAAGTATATATAAACGTTATGGCCAAAATGCTCTCGAATAAAAGAATAAGGGTAAAAACTATCATTTTAATAAATGTTAGTGGCTAATTTTGATATTATCCTATTATAAATTCATCTTTACACTATGACCTTCATTTTATATTGGTCCTTAAAATTTTTGAAAGTTCTAATTTTACATATAAACTTTTGAAAGTTCTAATTTTACATCTAAACTTTTGAATGACTAAGGGATATGATTAAAATATTCAAAAGCTTGACGATCATTTTTAAAACGAGGATCACAGTTTAGGGATGAATTTGGAATGTTTAGAAGTTTGTGGATTGATTTAGAATGTCGGCCATAATTATGAGATAAAATCAAAATGTTCAAAAATTCAGGAAGAACATATTTTGAGAATGTATGATGTAATTAATTTTAAAAATTATTTAATTTTTATTTGATGTCTTGAAATTTTGTAATTTCAAATGACTGAAAGTCTCACGTGTGGCAGCCTTAATATACGATTGTGAAAATCTATAATACGTTTTTCGGCCCCGGTTTTTGTGGCTAGCCATCTTCCTTTGAGATATTCTCCTCCCTCACTTGTCGTAACGTAACAGATCTACCCCCTCTACTTTCCTTTATTTTCCATCTTAACCCAATACTTTCTCTTCTCTTTCACTTCAGTCCTTTTCGTTGCGAATAATATCTTTTGCTATTACCAAACATTGAAGATTAATCGTTAGTTTTTTGATACGTTAATAATAATTTCCTCCATTAATAATTTCCCATGCTTCCAAATATGTTCCATGTACATGTCAATAAAGCATTGATTAGAGTATTTATTAAAATTTAATTAAGATTTTAAAATGTAAAACATTTAAAAAGATTTCATTCTTTATATTTTTCCAAAAAAATCACTGTACATTTATTACCAAATATTGTATTGATAATGCTGAGAAGGACGCTTAAAAACCCTAAATTTAGGGTTCTTTTGATTTTAGAAAATACATGTTATTCTAATTTTTATTTTTTTAGAAAATACAAAACGTTGAAGAAAACGTGTTTGTTTGTAAAATTATAAAATGATTTCTGTAAAATGAAAACAAAAATAAGTGAAAATATGAAAATATGCAAAAAGATGTTTTCAGTATTTTCATTAAAATTATTTTGAAAATTCGAAAAATAAGGAAATATGATATCTAGATTTTTAACTTAACTTGTACAAGCTTAAATCATTCTAACAATAATTTTTGATTTAATGATATTTGAAACCCTCAAATGTTTGTAAAAAATAATATGGTCCCTAAACTTTTTTTACACTCAATATAGTCCTTAAATTATTTTTTTAATAATTTAGTTTTTTATTTTTTATATTTAATTATTGAATATCTTAATAATTGTTTTTTATTTTAATCTAAATATTTTTTTAAATTTTTAAAAATTAAATAAGTCCTTAATTTTTTTAAAATAATCAATCAAGTCAAGTTACCACATCATCGTCCATCGAGTACTGCAACAACAATATCGTGAGCTATCACATCAATATTGTAGATTGTTATGTAATTTTGTGAACTGACATATAAGCGTTGTGACGATCAACGTTTGATTCCGCTATTTAAACGGTTAGATTACTTTTTTTGCTAAGTTTAAGGATCATATTTGGTACAAATAAACTTCAGGGACTACACTAATTTTTTCTCTCTCAAAAATTTGAGGGTCTCAATTACCACTTTTCATATGACACTTTGTGATATTGCTTATAATAATATTTTTGTGTATTTTTTAAAAGCATTAATTGATATTCAATATGTATTAATATTATATTATTATTATAAACTAAAATAAATTGTGTTATGGAATTTATTATTAATTTTATTATTTTATACTTACATAACTCACATCTTAATTTATGTAATGATTTTTTAATAAATATAGTTTAATTTAATTATTTAATAACTATTTCTTTATTTCTATTTTTTAAAAATTAAATACCACGTACATTTTTATTATTTTAATTTTTGATTCAAGTTTTCATTTTCATTGGCCAAACATGTTTTCTAATTTTCAAAAAAAATAAAAAATGAAAACTATTTTCTAAAAATAAAAACAAAAATATTTATGGAATCAAACGGACACAATATTCTAATAAAAATAAATGCAAAATTTTATATTAAGAGTTCCGAATATAAAAAATTATATTAAAAATTTAAGAAATAAAAAAATTTAAATTTTAGAAAATGTAAAATTTAATCATCAATAAAAAAATATATAGAGAAAGTATTTAAATGATTTAATAAAATAATAAAATAATCTTAAACCATTGAGTTCAAAAAGCAACTGAAAGTAGCAGGTAAGCTGTGCCAACCATCTCTTTTGACAAAACAAGGACTCCATCGAACACTCCTAAAACTCAATAGGGACTGAACTGAAATTATTCCATTGTTGTGTGCACTGCAATTTAACATTTAACGAAGAAAGGCAAAGGGGTCGTGTCGTCTCTTCCTTCCCATTCCTTCTTCTCTGTTAAGAAAGGTCAAACCCAACCACCGCGCAAAAGGGGAAAAAAGGTTCCATTAACGGTGATGATCCTCTGACATTGAAGCGCTGCCGTTTTGTTATTTTTTTTACCTCTTATGCTATTGCCGATCGCTTCTTTCTGTCCCGGTAACGCCCCGGTGGCCGGAAAAGGAAAGTGGGTTATTTTTTTACTATGAAGAGAAACGCCAACATCGGAAACAACAAAGGCTCAAATATTAACAATAGCAATCGATTTTTGCCGAATTCTTTGAAATTCATTTCTTCCTGCCTGAAAACAGCCTCTTCCGGCGTCCGGTCAGCTAGTGCTTCCGTCGCCGCTTCTATTGCTGGAGATTCTCATGAACATCCAAAAGACCAGGTTTGTTTTTTAATTTAAAATTTTATTGATTTTATTTTTATTTTTGGAAAACTAAGCTTCTCGTATTTTTATAGTTTGAAGGCTCAGAAGAAATAAAGAGAAATTAAATGTGGATAACTTTTTTTTATTTCCATTTTTTTTAATTTTAGGGCTTACTTAAGTTAGTGTTGTAATGTACAGCTAAAAGTTAATTTCTTTTTAAATTTTAGTCTTGAACCTTTTTTTCCATTAATATTTACTGATAATTTAAATTTTTGTTGTTGAAAATGATATTTTATTAATAGGGTAAACTTCAGATGCAGAGGAATCTTTCTTTTTTTTCCTAAAAAGTATATTGTCGCTTTAGTGGCCATTGAATGCACATTTGCATTATAATCATACTAATTAATTTGATGAAGGGAAAGTCAGCAGTTCAGTTTTTTTAATTTAGATTGATTTGTTTTTTGCTCTAACTAAACCAATATTTAGATGATATTTGTTAGATGCATTTTCAGCTATAGTTTTGTAAAAGAAAGATTATGTTATAAATCTTAAAATGGTGGCTCTAGAGAGTTTAATTATTTGTATAAGAACAACAGAATTGATTTTTGGATATAGCCAATGATTTGATTCTTTTTTGCTCTTTCTATTACAGGCCGTTATGCTCTACTCATTCTTGTAATGCTCTGATTTGAGTTCCTTTAAGGTTAAAATTGCCAAAATGGAAACTGAACTGCTTAATGCCCTTGTATTGTATGCAAGTTGTTTATCAGTTGCTCAGTTTTGATGACAATTGCTCATTGTCACATTGCTTGACATGTTTTTTGTTGTGCTCTTCTTTGACAGGTTGTGTAACTCATATGTGCATTTTCCTCGAAGCTCGTTACTCAATCTGCTATCTTACTGGGTATCTTTTGTATAACAGGTGCTATGGGCTTCCTTTGACAGACTAGAGCTTGGTCCCTCATCTTTTAAAAGGGTTCTCTTGCTTGGATACTCCAATGGCTTTCAAGTTCTTGACGTCGAAGATGCCTCCAATTTTTGTGAATTTGTTTCAAGGCGTGATGATCCAGTTACTTTTTTACAAATGCAGACACTCCCTGAAATGTCCGAGGGCCATGAAGGATTTAGAGCATCACATCCTTTACTTCTGGTTGTTGCCTGTGAAGAGTCAAAGGTCTCAGGCTTGATGCTTACTGGAAGAGATGGGTTTGAGGAGCCTAAAAACGGAAATGTCCTCTCTCCTACCACTGTTCGATTCTATTCGCTAAGGTCTCATAATTATGTTCATGTATTGAGATTCCGGTCAACTGTATATATGGTTAGATGCAGTCCTCGAATAGTTGCTGTGGGGCTTGCAACACAAGTAAGAATTAGCCCCCTTTTTTCTGAAACTTAGTTTTGGAACTAGTATTTTTATATTTTTCATAAGTATGTCCTGGCAGATTGAGGGATTTTTATTCCTTGTTTTCATATGTTGGAGTGGACATTCATTGAAAAACTTGAAATATTCAGATTGGATGGTTCCGGGAGTCCTTGCATTTTATAAAGACGTTGTTGATGATACATACATTCGTTATATCACTTTATTTGATCAATTATTTAGTTGGAGCCAAATGATCTAAACCATGCATTCTTTTATTGGTTGGCAGATATACTGCTTTGATGCTCTCACTCTTGAAAATAAATTTAGTGTCCTCACCTATCCTGTCCCTCAAGCAGGAGGCCAAGGAATGCTTAGGATTAATGTTGGGTATGGTCCCATGGCAGTGGGTCCCAGGTGGTTAGCTTACGCTTCAAACAGTCCATTGCTTTCAAATACAAACCGCCTGAGTCCGCAGAACCTGACTCCATCTCCAGGTATTAGTCCATCAACCTCTCCCAGTAGTGGGGGTCTTGTGGCTCGATATGCCATGGAATCTAGTAAGCAGTTAGCTGCTGGGTTAATCAATCTGGGCGACATGGGCTACAAAACTTGGTCAAAATACTATCAAGATTATATTCCTGACGGTTCTGGTTCTCCCATGTCTTCAAATTCAGGCTGGAAAGTTGGTCGGGGTGCATTACATTCTGCAGACACTGATATTGCTGGGACGGTTAG